ACAGTACACAATACTTTCCAAGGCAGTTCTAAACCCACAAGGCGATACTTACAGACTCTATTTTGTCAGGATCAGATAGCAGTGCGGCTCCCATACCTCCCTGGGAAAACATACAGAAACTGTTACACAATAGGCAAACGCATTTTTCAACTCAATTATTTTTCCTAATAGCAGACTGCAGCAAAAGTACAATGTTATATTAAGAAGAAAAGAAAAAAAAAAAAAAAGGAGAAAATGGCAAAATCTAAACTGCAGGAGAACTAGTGAACACTTCGGTGAAACACATTTCCTAGAACTGTGTCAGAATAATTAAGCGGTAATTCAGGCACCAACTTTTTCCCATTTATGGAGCAGACAGGATTTCAAAAGCCCATTTTTATCAACTGCAATCATGTAGTTTCTACTCATTAAGTGACTGCTGAACAGATTTATTGTTTTAACATTACACACCATGTTTGAGAGGTCTTGACATCAGCAGTTTCTGTCTACATACTACATTTAGAAAAACAGACCAAGATAAATCAAGTGGCTGTATTGAACACAAATTATGAACACTTCAACAATTTAATATTTTAGCTGTCCTTTCTGCACTCTCACTTGCATACATAGATGTACAGACCCATAAGCAGGCATAAGTTCAAAACTGAATGAACTTTTTTGACTTAAACTACTGTCAGAGAATAACCATTCACCAGCATTTGTGGCCATCAGGTTGAGGGAGGTGATTCTGTCCCTCTTCTCCACTCTTGTGAGACCCCAACGGGAGCAGTGCATCCAGGTCTGGGGTCCTCAGCACAGCAAAGACACAGACCTATTGGAGCAGGGCCAAAGGAGGGCCACAAAAATGATCAGAGGGATGGAACACCTCTCCTATGAGGAAAGGCTGAGAGAGTTGGGGTTGTTCAGCCTGGAGAAGAAAAGGCTCCAGGGAGACGTCATTGCAACCTTTCAGTAATTAAAGGGGGCTTGTAAGAAAGGTGGGGACAGACTTTTTAACAGGGCCTCCAGCGATAGGACAGGGGATAGTGGTTTTAAACTAAAAGCAGGTAGATTTAGACTAGAAGGAAGAAATTTTTTACAATGAGGATGGTGAAACACTGGAACAGGTGTCCCAGAGAGGTAGTGGATGCCCCATCCCTGGAAATACTCAAGTTCAGGCTGAACAGGGCTCTGAGCAACCTGATCTAGTTGAAGATGTCCCTGCTCATTGCAGGGCAAGGCGTTGACTGGATGACCTTTAAACCTTCCAACCCAAACTATTCTATGATACTATGATTTGAATTTTTGATCTTTCACCCTAGAACAGGGTGGATGTTTCGGTGCTTTTTTCTTAATTCTGAAGTGTGATTTCTAAATAGGCTATGTTATTTTACTGTATTAGGGACAATCCTGTGGTAGGTTAAAATAGTCTTCCATGTAATTTGTTATAGCACAGAAGAAAGCAATAAAGGCTAAAGAAAATATTACTGAAATATCACCAGACCATTATGAATTTAAAGACATGTCCTCAACATGACTACAGTTCCTTGGTAATACCACTTCATCTCAAAAGCCATCTGGCAGAAAAACAGAGGAAGTTCAGCAACAACAGAATGTAAACAGATAAATAAAAAGGCTCCAGAATAGTGGAAATTAAAATTCGAGTTTAAAAGAATGTGAAATATTTATTTTCACCATACCTCACCTTATAATTTTCATAAGCTATCATTGAAACAAAAAAGTTAATGGAATTAAAACAGAAAAACCCTTGAGATGTATCTGGGTGAAATTATTAACAAGTTAGATGGAATATATTAGAAGAATTTAAGTAACTAATCTTCAGATTGCAAGCCAACCTACACAACTAAGTAGTGAAACAGAAATTCCCCCTATAAATTGATCTATCCTATGACTTTCTTGTACCATCAGCTGGTACTTTCAGTATCGACCATTGTCAGATCCAGGCTGAAACGCTAGGAACTGTTAAAGTGAAGATAATAGATAGCTGAAAGGTGTCCAACATTCTTATACACCTCACATGCTCCAAAGGAAAACCAATCTTTGTGATGGAAAAATGTCAGGCCTCTCATATATACCCTATGTACAGTCATAAGAATTTACTTTTAAGTGCAAGATACAACATAGCCTGTTAGAATTCTCAGAATTCTAAAGAACTTTAGTGTTAATCTTATACAATAATAAAATTTAAAAACCTCACTACGTTTTTCTCAATATTCAGTGGTTGTCTTGACAGAAAATACAATCACCATGTGCTCAGCTGTTCAAGTCCACACTAACCTAAACTTACAAACTTTAGATATGCTTAACCACTTCAGGATATTCTATGTTTAATTACATGACCAAACCTCTTCTTAAGTGTGATTTCTAATAGGCTATGTTATTTTACTGTATTAGG